GTACGGGGACAACACTGGGGGTTGCGATCCGTTGCCGGACACGGAAAAAGACAAAAAAAAAAACCAAAAAAAAAAAAAAAAATACAAGAGGTATTAAAACAATAAAGGAAACAAATTACCATTTAGCATGTCAAAAATTTACCAACTTTTCTCACTCAAAACCAGCCTGCACATACAGGAGCCACTGGCTTCTTTGACTGTGCTCCTCTCATGAGGGTAGGAGCATGTGTCCATAAAACAGCACCCACAGGCTGCTGGACAGCATTCCAGCTTATTACTCAGGCCTGTCGTTGTGGTACTTAAAAGCCTCATGCCATAATGGCTTCAGCTTTTTCCTGTTTGCTCACTACTAATTCATGAGTCCACCAGCCTTTACAACAGGCTGCCCTGAGCTTGCACAAATTTATCAGGTTCAAATTAAAAGAGTTGGAGGACTTAAGTCAGTGGAGTCTTATGTGACAGATAGCCTACACAGAATTCCTCACATATGCGAGAAGCCAATTCACAATGTCTAGGTAGTTCTAGTGGGGAAACAACTTCCTCTTCAGCTGAGGCCAAGGAGATGCCAAAAATAGAAGAAAGTGTACAAAAGATGTTAGTGAACTGGGTTAAAAGATCCAGGCTTTCCTCTGTAGCTCTGGACTATAATCCAACAAATACTTATCAGTGTCAACCAAATAAGGTAATTTCACACGATAGATGAGAAGAATTCAGAATCCAACTCACCTAGATCTTAAGCTACTCTCACAGGAACATACAATTTTTTGAAACAAACTATAAAAGAACTACTTTGAAAAGCCCTTATAACTTCCAAGCACATGAAAAAAAATGTCCTCAAAAGAGTAATGAGTAAATTAAAATACTTAATTAGGAACATTCACCTCAAATACACCCCCACTCCAAACAACCAGAATTTAGATTATTCACTATAAATATATCCCTTGCTAACCATTCTCAAAGAGATACTTACATTTTTGGGCATCAGGGAAACTGAAATGCTCTGCCTCAAAGATTAAACAAAATATCTGACAACCCTTATGAATATCTGTAAAGACATACTCAGCAAGTCACAGTAGCAAGGGGGCAAGAGCGAAAGAGGGTATTGATAATTACGACAGAACAACAGACACACACTAGGAAACGGGGACATACTGGGGCCCTACCAGTGGCAGAACACAAAACTGGTGAATTATGTGCCCAATTGCTCCAGATCCAGGTGGCCAGTAGCCCACACACTTGAAGTAAGGTTGCTGAGACCATCTCCACTTATTCAGAGAATCTGGGATCCCTCCCCAGATACTTTCTCTCATCAGCTGCCTTCGAAGCTTTAGCTCTTCTCACTGTCATGGCACCTATCTGTTTCTGTTGTCCAGATATTAACCCTCTGTCATAATAGCAGGCAGCCTTGTGGTCAAGCAGATATCCTCCCCAGAAACAACCTGGGGATCTCTCTGAGCTTTGAGCCAGCAGAATCACTAGGAAGCCTTGGTCGCTGACAACCGCCAAAATCTGAAGTTTTTTAAACACCACCAGTAGTTAACTGCACTCTAGAGAAAATGAGGGATCCCTGACCACAGTGATTTAAAACCGTCTCTAAAGTGCCCCACAACCATTCCTGTAGTCCTTTAGTTAATAATACATATCAACCACCATTCCAGGTCCAACCGAAGACTTCCAGTGCCATAGCCCCAAACAGGTCTGATGCCAAACCCATTTCCAAAGCTGTGTTCCCTCCCTTGGAGTTACCAAACAGGCTTCACAACCTCAAAGCTACTTCAGACATACTCACTGCCTTCCCAGCATTTTCTGGCAAATGCCATCACTGATCCAACAATGTGACTAGAACCCTGCTGCTTCCAACACCATTCTCTGACCTCTGTTGCTGAATCAAAGCCTCACACCACTGCGGGAGTGGTGAGAGATTTCTAAAAGGCCACTAACACTTCTGTAAGCCACGGCTACCCAAACAAGTCCCCAGAGCCCCTGCCACTCACGGTCCTGTCATACCACAACTCCCAGTAAACGATACCTCCTTCTAAGCATATAGTTCTGACTCAGGCAGCCTCACGCCTAGCCTTTCAATACTAATGCTCTATAGGATAACAGCTAATAGTTGGGCCTACCCATGAGTCAGATGAAACCACTCTGGATTCAATGAGCTTGTATTATCTTTGTTACCACTATTACTCTTGGGCGTAAGGCTAAGCAACTCACAGAATGTTTAGGAGATGCCTTTGCTACAAAGAACTCTCCCCAAAAGTTCTTCCTACCCTCCCCAAAGTTCACAATGTGTGAACAGAAACACCCATGACCAGTCACAATCTCCCCAATGGCTAAAGTGGTCAGAGGTATCACACAGTAACTTTGGGCTACTTCTCTTAGGTCCCCCATTAGGACTATGAACTCCATGGAGAAACCCGCCCAGTGCAAAAAAATAACTGCTTATAAGTTAACCACAAAGTCAATCACTGTTTATTCAAGAAATGTCACAAGAGTACTGGCCAGAAGCCAAAAAAACCCAAAAAAACTAAAAAAAAGTCATAAGAAAAAAAATCATCCAACAAAAGTGACTGGCCTCACTGGCTAGCAACCAACTCACTCATCACAAAGTCAATCACTGTTTATTCAAGAAATGTCACAAGAGTACTGGCCAGAAGCCAAAAAAAACCAAAAAAACTAAAAAAAAGTCATAAGAAAAAAAATCATCCAACAAAAGTGACTGGCCTCACTGGCTAGCAACCAACTCACTCATTCACGCAGAAGGAAACACAAGAAAAGCAACTAGTGTGGCCACAGGAAGACAAGAGTTAGGATAATACAGGGGAGAGAGATGCCATGGGGTTACTCTGATCGTCCCGTAACAGAGAGTCACAGCAGAATTACTCAGGCAGTAAGAAAAGTACTCCTGTAAACAAACTCCCACATACTCGGTTGAAATTTCTTTGGAACTCTATTCATCCTGTCCTCAGGAGCTCTAGCCATACAAACAAATGGATAAACAACAAAGCTATAAAAGGAGAAGTTTTTTGTTTGTTTTGATTTTTGTTTTTAAAATAATATCAACAGGGAACCTTAATAAGAATAACATAGCAAAACCAGATCTGCAAAAGTAATCAAAAGTAAAGATGAAAAGAATAGCATAAAATAATTTGGGAGAGCTAATGCTACCAAAGTACTGACAGAAGAAGGGTAAAGCTAAAAATACACATTTCCTTCAATATCATACCTTATCAATGGCTTTTCCAACCCGAGAAACACTGCTGTGGATGTCTTTGTGGTCTGAGGCCAATTTTTGAACAGTATCCTTTATTCTTTTACAGCACTGTGTCAAAACAAGTGAAAGTGTCCCTGATAATTCAGCATCTTGGCCTATAAAAAAAAAAAATTGGTTACTCACTACAGCAAATCCAAAGATGGCAAGTTTCAAACAGACCCTCTGGAACATGAAAGATGGAAGAAAAGTGAAGAAGAAAAATCAGTATCTGCTTTGAAGCAAATGGTCACATTCACATGTTATTTTTCAAAAGAATACTAAGAATGCATCTTATTTTTTTTATTTTTGAAAATAAGAAAATGTTACTGTGAATTAAACCACTTCTGTAATTACAAAAATCAGCACAACTATGAACGATATTGCCAAGACAGTATAATATTTCAGAAAACAGGTCTAAATGAATAAATTCACTTACTCAACCCAGTTAAACTGTTCAAGTCTTTCTCGAAACAGTGGTTATTACTAAATTTCCTGAAGACTGATGATTTAGTCTAAATGCTTTATATTCCACACAAAGAAGCTGAAGAAAAAAAAATTCTCGGAACACCGTGATACGCAGGAAAGAGTTATTAACACAGCAGGCCTGAGACTGCTACCCTCAGAAAACCTTGCTTGCAAAGTTGGCCCTTGGCTGGCATCTGGAAACTTGGAGTTCAGGACGGTTCCCACTATTCCCTAACTGATAAGACCTGCTCACTGTGCCTAAAATATTGTACAATGCAGTTTATGGTGAACATCTGCTTTCCTTCTGGGAATCTGGAATTTTGGTACATGCTTGGCAGAGGGTGCCTGCTTGACCAGCCTCCAATAAAAACCCTGGGCACTGAGTCTCTAATGAGCTTCCCTGCTAGACAATACTTTACACTTGTCACAACTCTTGCTGGAGGAATTAAGCATGTCCTATGTGACTCCTCTGGGAGAGGACTCTTGAAAACTTTATCCTGACTCTGGACTTTGCCCCATGTGTTTTTTCCCTTTGCTGATTTTGCTTTGTATCCTTTTGCTGTTATAAATCTTAGCCACCAACCCGTACAACTATATGCTGAGTCATATGAGCCCTCCTAGTAAATCACTGGAACCTAAGGGTGATCTTGACCCGTGATACACATGATAAATCAACTGAAAGTTACCACAGTTTATATCCTCCTTCCCTGTGCTACCTCCCTCCAAACTTTGTTCCTCTAGGAGGAAGAAGGGAGGAGGAGAAGGGGGGAGAGGATGAGGAGATGGGGGAGAGAGAACAAATCCAATTAAGGTATGTCAGTTATCACTGTATCTACATATCCCCACCTGTAAGCAATGGGCCTTATTTCTGAAATCCGACCCAATACAGTGGTTCTTCAAGGGAGGAGGAGAAGGGGGGAGAGGATGAGGAGATGGGGGAGAGAGAACAAATCCAATTAACGTATGTCAGTTATCACTGTATCTACATATCCCCACCTGTAAGCAATGGGCCTGATTTCTGAAATCCTACCCAATACAGTGGTTCTTAAACTTTAATTTAGATTAGAATCACCTGGAGGCTTAATTGAAACAAGTAGCTGGATCCCATCCCCAGAGTTTCTGATTCAATAGATCTGTGATGGGGCCCCAGAATTTGAACAAGAACAAGCCCAAGAGTACAGTAGCCCTAGGTTGTTCATTCATTCAAACAAGTATTTAGTGAGCACTTCCTATGTGACAGCTATAGCCGTGAAATAAAGCAAACCAAAATCCTTGCCCTATAACTTATCTTCTGGTGAGAGACATAAACAGCACACAAAATAAGCAGAACACCACACAAAATAATTATGTACTATGACAAAAGGTGATAAAAGCTACTGGGAAAAAAAGGCAGGGTAAGAGAGATGGGAAGCATATGTGGGTTGAGCAATTGCAATCTTAAAGAGGATAAACATGGTAGGCCTCACTGAGTGACATTTGAGCAAAGAGTTGAAAGAAGTGAAGGAATTAACCATGTCGCTACCTTGGGGGAAAGCATTCCAGGCCGGGAGGACAAAAGCCCTACTGAAGAAACATACCTAGACCATTCAAAGAATAGTAAAGAGGCTCATGTGTCTAAAGTGGATTTCTGGCAAAGGAAAATAGTAGGAGAGGAAATCAAGAGATACTGGGGGTCCTGGTTTTTCAGGGCCTTCTTGGCATTGCACAGACTTTGGCTTTTGCATTGGGTGAAAGGGAGATCCACTGCAAGGTTCTGAGCAGAGAAGACACATAACACAGTCACTCTTCACTCTACTGATGACAGGAGTACAACAACAGAAGCAAGAAGCTAAGTTAGAGGCTGGGGCAGCAATCTAGATGAGAGATGTCAGTGGCTAAGTCCAGCACTTCCTGACTAGATATGAGGGAAGAAAAGGACTCACAGATGTCTCCAAGGTTTTTAGCCTGAGTCAACTGGAAGGATGGAATTGCACCAATTAAAATGAAAAAGACTAACGGCTGAGCAGGTATGAGGGGTGGAGAGAGACAAGAGTTCAGTTTTGGGCTTGCTAAATTTGAGACATTGAGTAGGCACCCCAGTGCATACACAGAGTCAGCTGGATATACAAATCTGAAGTTCAAGAACAACATTAGGGCTGGAGACACAAATTTGTGAATCACCGGCATAGAGACGATACATAAAGCCAAGAGACTAAATAAAATCACTAAGGGAGTCAGTGCAGACACAGAGAAGTGGTAAAGAACTGAGTCCTGGGAATTCCAAGTTTCTGAGGCTGAGATGAAGTGGAACTGGAAAAGGAGACTGACAAACACTACTGAAGCACTAACTGGGATGGGGAGGAAAATCAAGTAAGTATGGTGTTGGGGAAACCAAGTGAAAAAAACGTGTCAAGGAGGTTATTCCCTAATAACCAACTGTGTTAAATGCACTGCTAGGTCAAGTAAGATGTGGACTGAGAACTGGCCATTGGATTTACAATGTGAAAGTAATCAGTAACCATGACAAGAATAGTTTCTCTAGAGTTTCAAGAAAAGAAATCCTAGAAGGTTGCAGGGACTGTGAAGAGGGAATATAGCAAGTCTGGTTCAATTACAACCACTGAGAGAAGAAAACACGCAATCAGAAGGTGGTGCCATAAGGTACCCAATCCAATATGGGGTGGCCAAAATAGAAACTGCCCTTATCTCTGAATACAGCTGCACAATGTTTCTATCAGGTGCTTCTAACTTCTAATAACATAATTTAGGCTAAAGGAAGACTTAGTACTTCAGGAAAATTTCAAAATCTGTCTAAATGTGTTCCATACATATCTTAGACCAAACGAATCTAACTGCTTCCATAAATCTGTTCTGGCCATTTGTGGTCTTTCTGTACCTAAATCTTACCAAACCTCAACAGCCTCATCTCTTCTATGAATCTCTCTGTCCACAGCCTTACTCCCTCTCTGAACTCCTCATTAATTTCCATCCTCTCCACCACTCCTCTGGTACTAATTATATACCATTTAACAACTTCAGGTACATATGCCATCTCAACTAATCATAAGTCCCCAAGGAAAAAGTTCTTACTGTATACTGTATACTTCACGGTCATATATTAACATTGCCTGCAAATATGCAAGACATACGATAAATATTTGTTTTAAAAGATGACCAGTAAGGGGATCTTAACCCTTGACTTGGTGTTGTCAGCACCATGCTCTCCCAAATGAGTTAACCAGCCATCCCTATATAGGGATCCAAACCCTTGGCCTTGGTATTATCAGCACCACACTCTCCCAAGTGAGCCACAGGGCGGCCCCATATGATAAGTTATTTGGATTGATGGTAAATAAAGCAAGGGAAAAGAACAGTTAAAAACAAAGTCATATTTGGGCCGGCCCGGTGGCGCACTGGATAGTGCGCCGCTTGGGAAGCACGGCAGCGCTCCCGTCCGAGGGTTCGGATCCCA